GTTTGTATAGTTTACCCCCACAGGCACTGAGAAATCACAGAGCCTCTTGCTGAGCAGCTCATTGTGACTTAACTTAAGCAAGTATTTGGCTCCACTGATTTAAGCAGGCTTTGTCTCTTCAAATAACTGGGAACAACTTCAACATATTTCAGTGTTTTGCTTAGTTGAGGCCAGGTTTCCTGCAGGATGTGTGACTGGTAACTATCCACAGTGATTCAGCCTGCAGGTCACAGACTCAGAGCCAAGGAAGAATAGAAGGAAGATGTCTGTGCGCTCATCTGAGGCAGCCTTGGAGGTAACAAAGCCTATTTCCACAGATGCCCAGACTTCCACTAGGAACTGCTAAGGTTTCCAGCTGAAACCTTGAAAAACTGAAAGAGGTGGAAACCACTGAACAATTTCAGAAGAACATCTGTTATAGAGATTAGATTATGCTCAGCATAACTCCCGTAATGGAAAAAAATAAAAAAAAAGCAGGGCTAAGATAGCCAGGACCTGGGTTATCGTGTAGAATGTGTAAGGTGTGTGTCACTAATTGGCAGGCTCCTAGAAAATTAAGTCATAAAACTGTAACAAGCACTGAAAGTTTTACGCTATCAAAATACTCTTTCAAAATATACTTGAAAAAGCTATAATTCATTACTCTGCCAAGCAACTTACACAAGAGAAGAGTTTTTTTTACTATATAAATAACATATTGAGCTGTAACTATCTTAGAGAAATTTATAAACTGTCAAGATTTTTATAAAATGATATAATTCAAGCTAGTGTTCACCAAGATTAAAATGAAATGTTTACAGAATACAATAAGCATATGATAGAACTATCAACTTTGTGTGTTGAGAGTTGATGCTGGTAAATCAATACAGCTGCTAGGACAGTAGGCACTTTAAAAATCAATATAATAAATAAATAAATATGAGTGGACTTACACTTTAACACCATGTGTGCAGAGATGCACTTCATCTTGACACAAATAATACATGCTGGATAACCACCAGAGATTACATTCTTTAAAGCATTGAAGAAATGATATGATCAAAGGACTGGACTGGAACTCAAAAATTATTTCCAGGCCCACTGAGTGACTGATCTAATGGGAAGTTTAACCTTCTTATGACTCAGTTTTTCCATCTGTAAGATAAGGACAGTATAAGAACAGTGTTTGGAAACTCTTCAATAAGCAAACTATTATCAAAATTAACTATGCCTAGAAATGGTACATTTTTGACCGATAGTCATGTTTATGCACTGAGTTCTCCTGAAGCAATTATTGAATTATTGGGTTTGAAAAGCAGCCAGGAGAACTGCATCTGGGAAGTTAAAACTGGTTCCAAGCTTGTTATTTCTCTTTAAAACTCCTAAAGAGCTTATAGCGTACGCAGTGCTGACCTAAATGCAAGGTGAAAAGTGTAGAAATAAATGAAATGGCACAACCTGGTCTTTGATTAGTAGAAGATGGAAAAAGAGAATGGCAGAAAAATAAGGATAAGCAGCTTAAACAGGCTGTAGGTAGCCAATGCCCAGTCTGGCTGGTGAAGACCAGCTTGGGAGAGAATTAATACATCCTGTTTTTTTCAATTCCATGTTGTATGCATCGATAAGGTCAGCCTTATGATGGCTTTAATTTAATATGATGTGTCTAAAAAAAAAAAATAGATATTAAGGGAAAACACGTTATTCAATTAACTTCGAAGTCTTTACTTCATGTAATATCAGGTCTTTCTAAGAACAAATCTGCAACTGACCTGAAAGCTTTGTAGACTCTAAGGATCCTAATGGAGTTCTTAATAATGAATTGCAGTTTGTAGGGTCTAGGTGTCAGGAGGAATAAAGAAAAGTAAAAACATTTTTTTCTAAAAGAAAAAATACACCGTTACTGAAAACTTTGAGTAAGATTCCCAGTCTTTAGAAAATATTTTATGACATTTAATTTGGACACAGAAAGAATTTGCAGGAAAAAAGATAAAAAGATAAAGATGAGGCAAGGAAACAGGGCTAGTACCTGGCTCTAAGTTACCTGGAACTGTTTTAAAAAAGGAATGTAAAATACCTCCACGCACTTCGAGGACAAGCAAAAGGGACATACTTTTATATCACGAACTTCAAGTTCTGCTTCCTTAATTCTCAAACAATCTAAACACCATGACGGCTTCAGCTTCTCCCCTTATGTTTAAAATACATTCACAGCCAATTTCTGGAGATTTAGTCAGATTCTGGCAAATTAGCAAAGCTTCTTGGAGTCAACAACTGAAAGTAATATGGCTTCTGGCAGGAGTAAGTATTATGTTCTGCATTAGTGTGATTGAATCTCTGTTTAGACCAGGTCATGCGGAAGATGGAGCATTCAACTTTCGACATTTTATTTTAACACAAATGTCACTTTGCCCTTATTCCGCAAGCAAGTCTTAGTTTATCATCTACTTTACTGCGTGAGCAGAAACAGAGCACACTGTATATCACATCTGATCCAGCAGAGTGATACAATACTACTATGCTAGTTATCAGTACTAGTGCTAATTTATATGACTAAATAATGTATAAATGATGAAATCTGCAAATGTGTTTAAAGAAATATGTATTTTTTAATAATAAAAAAGAGTTTAAACGTTTGGTGTTCAAAGAATAAAAGTGCAGGGGACTAATAGAAAAAAATGGGCAAGGCAGTATATATAAAAAGATAGATGCAAAATCACAGGAAAGAGTATTACAGTACATGGAATAGCTTTTTTTAGGGAACAGATTTAAATAAAGGCAAGCCAAAAACATATTATCTCTAGAAATATACTGAAGCTGTAACATTTAGATCTTTACATTTTATGACACTAGTGACTCTAGAAATTTGATATAGACCCCCATGTCTTACTCTCTTATTTCTTGATAGAAAAAAGGCTATTAATGCAGAATAGCATTTACACTAGTAACATCAATTCATAAACATATTTTCATCTGAAATCAAACAGAAAGAAATTTTGCTTCCTGAACTCCTGCAAAAACAGATTCCTGTCTCTAGAGATTTTAAACATTACAGGAAGGTCCGAATAAAAGTCCAAGTAGAAGAGAATACTAAGATTAATGATAACAAGGAGTAAGAAAAAAAAAATATTTAAGAAAGGAATTATTTTTAGTTTATTGACTATTTCAAATGTTGAATTCTGCTTGAGTGGAGCATCAAACAGGTGAGTGAATGAAGAACCGTAGGATAAAGTGACATGTTTGGTAGCAATAATGGGAATAGAAGTGATGGTAAGCTCTCTACTTAGATTATGCAAAACCCTTCACTGACAAGACAGAAGTTCTTGGTAAAAACAGGACGTCCCCAAGTAGATGTGGCAGTGTTACTGATGCACTGCAGTTCTGGAGAGGAATGTGTATTAAATTAATGAGAACCGAAACTGAAACTAGCCATTTCCCTCACAAACTGGCCATTATTCACCACATGGATCAGCACAGGTTAGAGGCCGACCTGCTGGAAAGGAGCTCTGCAGAAGAGAACCTGAATGTTCTGGTGAGCAACAGGTTGGTCATGAATCAGTGGCATGCCCCTGTGGCCAAGAAGGCCGGCGATATACTGAGGTGCATTAAAACAAATGTGGCCAGCAATGGAGGTGGTCCTTGTCCTCTACTCTGCCCTGGTGAGGCCACATCTGGAGTATTGCATCCATGTTCTTTACTCCTTTGTTGAAAAAAAAAACAAAACAAAACAGAGATCTTCTAGGTCCAGAGGAGGGCCACAAAGATGATTAAGGGCTTGAAGCATCTCCCTTCTGAGAAAAGGCTGAGACTCCTGAGACTGTTCAGCCTGGAGGCTGAGAGGGATCTCATCACTGCTTATAAATATCTAAATCGTGGGAGTCAAATGAATGGGGCCAGGCAGTGGTGGGGTGCAGTGATAGAACAGGGGGCAATGGGCACAAACTGTAACACAGGAAGTTCCATAGAGACACAAAGAAGAAATTCTTTATTGTGAGGGTGACAGCACAGGAACATGTGTCCAGAGAGGTTGTGGAGTCTCCTCTGGAGATACTCAAGATGCATGTGGACACTTTCATGTATGGCCTGCCGTAGGAAGCCTGCTTTAGCAGGGGGTTGGTCTCCATGATCTTCTATAGAGGATCCTTCCAACCCTTATGATTCCGTATTTCTGTTGTTCATCTTAGGCTGAGTGAATAAACTTGCTTTATGATTGAGGAACTTCTTGAGTTTCCAGTGCTGCCTACATAGAAAGATCTTGGAACATGATGACAGGTGCAGGTACCTGTGTGAATATTATGGGTAAGTTACGGGTAATACAGAAGCATTTATTTATTAAAATAGAATCACTGGGATTTTATTTTACTGGTAACATGCTGTATTTAGGAATAGCCTGGGCTTTTATTTTGTCTGAAGTCCTCAAACTGCCTCCTAAAAGCTTGAGAGCGGAGTGGAAACAATTTCCACGATAAAAGAAGGAAAAGACCACGGGCGTTCTGTACCGCTTGTGGGAAGGGCGATCCGCACGGAGACGTTTGAACAGGGCAGACGCATAGCGCGGTACTTTCTCAGCGCCCACGGGGATACAAACGACACCGCGAACAACCGGCTGAAACCGCAGTAAGTGGAGCAAGGCGGTGAGCAGGTAAACACCTGCAGGGAAAAACGAACGGGGTGTGTGTGTGGGGGGGGAAGCCCTACGAAGGCCAGCACAGAAATTACAGGCTACAAATTAACCGCGGTGGGTAATTCGGAACCCGATTGCGATCAGCTGCTCGACCGGCTGCGGGCTGTCCCGCGCCTCGGCCACATTCCTTCACGCCTGGCTCGGCCGGGGCCGCCCTCCCGCCAAGAGCCGCCCATCGGCGCTGCCTCGCGGGCCGGGGGGGAGCGGAGCGGGCGGCCGGCCGGCCGGCCGCAGGCAGGCAGGCAGGCAGGTAGGTAAGGAGCGGCGGAGGGGAGGGCGCCGGAGGCCCCGCCCGCTCGCTCTCCCAAGCTGCTCCGCGCCGCAGCCGGGGGGAGGTGGAGCCGCTTTATCGAGAGCCCAAGTGGAAATTTCCCCCTCAGTTGCCGGCTCCACCGCGGAGGAGACATCAGAGCTAGCTGCGCGTCCTTGTCGTTCTCGCCCGCAGCCATGTCTAACTACATCCACGTCCCGCCCGGCTCCCCGGAGGTGCCTAAGCTGGACATCACCGTCAGCGAGCGGGAGGGGCCCGGCTGCCGCCAGGGCGCCCTGCAGCTGCTGCGCCGCCTGCGGCCCCATTGGAGACCCGAGGAGGTGACGCTGCAGGTACGGCAGGCTGGGGCCGCGCGGGAGGGCGGGCAGGCGGGCTGGGGATGTGGTGTTTTGAGGCTGGGGAGGGTAGGGAAAGAGAAGGAAAGGAAGGGGGGCGGGCGGCCATTGTGCGGGGGAGAGCCGCCGCGCCGCCGTCCCCTCCCCCTCCTCTCCGCAGGCAGCCCCCTGCGCCGAGCCCCATTCGCTCGGCTGCTCGGCGGCGGGGCGTGGCGGCCGGCAGCATCCCCTGCCCCCTTCCCCTGCTCTCGTTTTCCTCTTCCTCCTTTCGCTCCCCGCACTCTGCAACTTGATTGCCTCCGCCCCGCTTGCCCGCGCGAGCCCGGCGAAGGAAGGCAGGGGATGGTTTGCCCTCGCCGTGCCTTCAGAGCCGGCGGGTTGCGCCTCCCAGCACCCGCGGGGAAGGAGGGCGACGAGGGGCGGCAGCTGAGGTAACAGCGCCGCGGGCTGAGGCGCTCCTCGGGAGCCGTAGGCGGGCGCGCCCCGCGTGTTCGCATGTAATAAATGTCAATAAAAGCCTTGGGTCACTGCGTTTTTCTTCCGTGTCAGCGGTATCTCGGTAGGTATCTGCCTCGCTAACGGCCTTGCTTGCCTCTCAGCCCCGAAGCCTCGCCTGGTGTTGAGCTAGGTGAGCAATCATTCATATTTATGATGAATCATCTGTGTGAGGATTGGTTGCTTTGTGCTTCTAGAATATACTTCACCTAGCCTTGCTTGCATCTTCACTGCATGCGTACAGTCGTGAGAAGCAGCGGCTCACGTACTGCCTGTGCTCAGGTGGGCGCTTTGCGCCGTGCCCTTCAACTCTGTGACCCAGCAGTTACAGCGTGCAGCGCTTGAGGATTTTGGTAAAGTTTCTCATTTCCAGAGAATTATTTCTCTTCAAACCGCTACAGCGAAACTGAGCACGTCATGGTAATAACACACAAATTGACTTGAGCACTCTGAAGTTCTGTGATGGTAGAAATTTGACTTGCACAGTTCACTTAATATGAAAATGAAGGTAACACTTCTTCCAAGTAATTTCCTTAAAGGCTACAGACATAAGTGAAACACAAACCCACTGTAGGTAGGACATCTTTCTTCAGGGAGGTATTTTTTATATCATGATGTACAATGAAAATAGCGTTACAGTGTGAAGAAGGGTGCTGAACAGAGCACTGCTCATGATTTTTTGTTCTAGTTCAGTGGTGGGGACACTTCGCAACAAAATGTTCTTTCTTTCATGCACCTTGAGAAATGAAACTTTCAGGTTTGTGTGGGATGGCTCTAACCCTTTGGGAAAGCTCTAGTATGCATTATTATTATTTTTAAGGCTAAACCTACAAAAACATGCAAAACCCAACCCCACTTCTTTCCTACACCACCTAGTTTGAAAGAAGGAGTAAAGAGCAGTATAAGAGCCATTGGCGTAGAACACGGATGCATGACTGTGCCGTAGTGAAGTGATGGGCTGCTATGCTTCAGTGTTTGTATGTATAAAAAAAAAAAAAAGTCTGATTCTTGCTTCTTTGTTGCTTTGAAACTGAAACTTTTTTACTAACTTTTCTTTCTTTTTCCTTTTCTTTCTGTTAGCTGAACAAGAGCATCCTGCTCACAAAGCTCTACAGTAGCCTTCTAGTTTCACTCGTTAGTCCCCTTTTAAAGTTGTCTGTATGTAACAAGCAAGAATGTGGTTATGCATGTGTCGCATATAGTAATATGCTGAAATAAAACGTAACTACTTTTGTTCCAAGTATGGTCTGCCCTGCATTCCCCTTGTTAGAGTGGCTCTGTAGTTAGGAGGGAGGTGAAACTGAGAATCATTTATTGCATGAAAAATATGCTTGACTAGTCTGAAACAGCAGCATCATAGCAAAGTACACAAAAAACATTGATAGATGTAGCTTCATCTGTGCTGTGCTGTTAATTGCCTTTGCTTTAAGTCATTCTAAGGGCAAAAAGGCAAGTAGGAAGTTGAAGAGTCCAGGGTTTGACTTAAAAAATTAATTAACTTTTAGTGGTTTAAAAAAATAAATAAGAAATGTACCATTCTGTGTCAGACTGCTTAGCCAGCAGCACAGTTGTGAGACAGCATAGTTAAAACATCTTTATGTTTAATCTTTTCTTTAAGATTTGTAAATTAAAATATTCATGATTTAATGGTTTGATTTTTTGATATTGTAGCATGGCACACAAGTAAGTATGAGGCACAGAATGAAAATCTCAGTAGTGCTTAAACTAGTATTATTGCTTTATTTTTAAAATTCTAGAATCTGTACTTGTTGCCAGCTGCTTATTGAATCACAGGTGGTTTATTGTAATGTAACTCCTCAGTGTCCAGTTACCTGTGAATGTTATCACCACAAAACAAGCTTAGGTACTCAGGCTCTTACATTTTGGTAAGGAAAAGCCAAGTTTTTCTGTCTGAACACTGACCTTCATGTGTTTTGTCTGTGCAGTTGTCACTAGAGGCTGTGGGAGGAGCTGCCTAAAAAGTATTTTCTCTAAGTTCTTGAGATCTACTTTCTCTGCTTTATGATTGCAAATAGCTTTGTCAATAAAACCAGTATGGGCCTTTTGCATTAGTAGCTATTGAATTTATGACATGTGATTTTAGTAATAAAATCATAGGGTAGTTCAAGTTGGAAGAGATCTCTGGAGGCTTCAAGCTCATGCTGTATGCTCGCAGCTTGCTGAATCCAGAAATTAGTTATAATGAATTACAGGGAAGGGTGTGTTTGGATTTCATAAAATAAAATGCCTTTCAAAACTCAGATGCTGTTCTGGATTAGTGAAAGTGAGCATGCCAATTTCTATATCCTTGCCAATTTGCTCTAAATTGTAGAGAGAGCTGTGATTACATTCAGCTCTACTGCCTTAAAGAGGTTGTGAAAATGCAATCGTAGTTTACAAATTTTTTTTCTCATCTCATGGGGATGAAATTCTGTTTTTGAAGAAGAATCAGTTTTGAGTTATAATATGGGAAAACTAGTGACCACTGCCTAAGCACAGACTTGAGATTGTCTTATCCCATGACCTATTAAGGGTTTTTTAGGTCAAGTCATAAAGAAGGATCAGTAGGCTAATACGTGATTGTCTCTCTGTAGTGTAATGCTATGGAATGGGGAATGCAGTCTTTATTTCTCCCCATTTTGAAGTGATCTGTATAAAGGATGCCTGATCTTACTCTTGAAGAGCCTTAATGTTAATTTAAGCATTGGTTATTTGCATAGCATTATACGTGCCAAAAATTCAGCAGCCAGATTTGAGTGTCTGAAATAATTAAAATTGTGCGTAGCACATGGTGCTCATCCTTCCCCTAACCTAGGGGGAACAAGGGGAACCTTTTTTTTTTTTTTTAGTAAGGGAAATTCGTATATTCAGTAAAACTTATCTTTTTTCTAATCCTGCAAGCATCTGACTTGGTTCTGTATTGTGCCCAAATAAGTTTCACGATTGGTTCTCCCTCATATAATGAAATGTTGCTTGCTTTTTAGTACTGCTTTTAGTACCAGAATGTACGTGTCTTTGCATTTATCAGTTTCCTATATGTCTGCTTTTTCCTTCCTGTCTTGTGCTCAGTAGCTTTTCTGTGGTCAGTATTTTCTGGTGGCTGCTTTCAGTTCTGTTTATGTGTGGGTCTTGCTATTTTCTTTATAAGAAACAATGCGAATGACTTAAAATACTTAGGTTTACTTAAACTGTATATGGAGTTCAGAACCCTGAAATAATTGAATGAAAATAAGAGTATCATGGAAAATGATGTAAATTGTAACCTTATTTTTAAATCGCAGTGTTGTTACTTTTTTCAACAGTATTATTTTTATTGCGTGGCTGTTCTAGGACATCATGATCTTTCAACAGTTGATAAAGTTCTTATATTTAGAGAAAGGGTGACTGAAGGAAAACAGGAAAAAAATAGTTTGAAGAAATATGCTACGCTGATGCATTATGGTAAAGCTAATCAAGGGGTGTGTCTTGAATTCAATGTCAAAGCAGCTGGAATATTGAAGCAGTACTAAATGTCATCTGCTGATTGGTTTCTTCATTCTCATGAAGTGTCTGAAGTTTGATAAACTCAATCAGTTGTAAATGAGCTTTTACCTTATCAGTGGGTGTGGCAGCAATCATTTTCATGTGGTGAGGTCTTAGTTTATTTGCCACATCACTGAGCGTGACGTAACCCAGTTGTGTTTGCTCTAGGTGTGATGTATGTGCCGATGATTCTGGTTCTAGTTAAAGGTAATCAATACTTGCTTAGTCACAGCCTATGATCTGGCTATGTAATGGCACATAGTTTGCTCTGAACGTTAGAGATTATTTTGGAAAGGAAGAGGGCCACCTAAGATGTTCCTCCTTAGCCTCTGGGTTTTTTTTTCTACTGCTAGACAGCCATTTCACATCAAAGCCTTCTGAGGGAGAAGCCGCGAATTCATTCTTGAGTCAAAATAAAATCTTAGACACCTTTTATGTTCAGGTTTTTTGGTTTTTTTTTTTTCTTTTTTTTTTTTCCCCTATGGCTCTTAATCAAAATCATGAAGTCTCTAAAAAGTTCTAAAGCAATTCACCTCTTCAGAAGTCTTAACTGGTTATCAGATGTTAACTGCCTTCTTGGGAGAGCATTCTTCAGAAAGAAGTTAAAAAGTGCTTAATTTTTCTTTGAAATCTATTCCAACGTAGAAGATAAGTTATTCTTGTTCAATTCATTTAGATCAGGATTAGTTCTTGTAAAAGGTGATGGCTCTATAGTACATTGGTCATTCCAAAAGCAATGCCTCCTATTTATTTCCATGGAAACTGTAACAGCCATAAAGAGCACCATAACACTGTTTGGTAGAGCAAACTCAGATACCAAACACTATTTTTCAACCTAGTCACTACCATTAGCTACGCCTTCTTGCTAGTGATGAACAAGAGCCTGCATGACATGCTTAAAAAAATCTGCTCCAATGGAGGTGACCTACTGTTTCAGTGCTGGCATCATTGCTAGGAAAATGTCCACGCAGTCCGTATTT